TCAAGGATCTGTGGGTACAGAGGGCTGAGAATTCTCAACGGGACCAAAGCCTCACATGAGCCTCTTCACATTATTGTTGATATGCAGATCTTACTTTATTCATATAATTGTATAATTTAAATTGTAATGGCTACAAAATTTTACCTTTTAGGTGGTACTTATAACTCCTGTGCTGTATACATTATTGTGGAGCGGTCCTAGCTCAAGGAATTATCTTTTCTTGTTATATTTGTCTTGCTCCTTAGAGTAACAGTAGCTCTTCATTAAGCTATGATGTGCTGGCCTTTCTAAAAACTAAATTTATATACTTGATTGAAACAAATCCTCCTCTATTTGTGACCTGATGTTGAGTTTAAACATTCTTTGAAATTTGAAAAAGGAGACATATTCTAAATATCTTTAAGGAAGCTAAGAAAATAATTGTCACAATGGAAGCAATTTTCCTCAGAAATATCCTCTCCACTATTTCTGAGCAAGTTTATTCTATCAAGACATTGCTTTTAGGTAAAAGTAATAGTTATTTATAATCTAGTCTTTTTCTAGGTCAGTAGGCAAAATTATGAATCATACCAACACTTTGAAAAATTTAAGAGGATTTCATCTTTCTGAAAGTAAGAATTTGAAAGGACTCATAATTCTGAATTAGGAACTTCACCTGCTATGGGTTACATAAAGCAGGCATCATTGAACACTTGCCAAGTAAGAATCAACCTGTGACTTAAAAACGTGGACAGGGATGGGAATTCGACAGTGTGAAATAACCTCATTCCTATCCACATCCTGTCCCAGGAAGGACCTAAATCTGCTTGCATAAACGGCTTTATTTGTTTCTAATTTAGGTTTCCCTGTGTGATATCATCTGATTTATTTTTGATGTAGATAATGTTCTAAGACCTAATGAATGGAATGCTCTCCAACTTTCCACCACAGAAGAAAGAGCAAATGAAAATTTGAATTTTATTGTTTTTTTTGCTTGGCCTTGAATATACGGGAGATGGTTAGGGTTGGATATTTCACCCAAGAAAACATAAGAATAATGTGATATACACCTGTGATTGGGAAGCAAGTTTTTGTAGGAATTATAGGTCTGGCTGGTGCTCTTTACATGTTTTGTATAGCTTGAGTAGTTAGCTAGTTATTCTAAATAAACATATGCAGTATAATCGGCAGTTTTGAGTAGGTGGATTTTGATAACCCAAATATTTCACATGATCTCAAGACTCAGAAAACCTGTTAGAAATCAGGTGATGTCAGTGTGAGACGGGTAAATTTGCCACGGGTTAAATCCCAGGGAGAATCCAGGTGCTTCCTGGGACACAGAGCGGGGGGAGCAAACAGGTCCAGGGAGTGGAGGGACTCGGAGCCCCAGCAGTGGACGTCCTCATCGGGGAGGAGGGCTGTGCTGACCAGACTGTGCACAGGCCAGCGGTCCCTGCCAATGGCCCAGTCCCGGAGACATGTCCGGGAAGCACCAGAGAGGTCTCGGAGGCACTCTTTCCAGGAGATGCCAGGGCACTGGTTCAGAAGGAAGTGCTCAGAGCTGCATTTAGGGAAAGGCGGGGCTGACAGCAGCCCTGGAGCTGGACAGCCACTGACCTGCTTTGCCCGCTGGGATGATAGAACCTCTGTTTCCTTCAGGAAGCCAGGGTGGGGCAGCAAGAGTTTCTGCAAGTGACTGTCCTGTGCTGGCTGGCTGGACCATGTTTGACCTGGGTCTGTTTCCAGTCATGAACTTTCTGTGCTGAGGAAGGCTCTCCTACCCTGGGGGCAGATCTAACTTCCACCTTCTTCAAGCCTCATCTTCTTTTTACCTCTCAGATTTCTGCCTTTAACAACCTTGATACCCTCTTTCTCTCTCTTTTTCTTTCTTTCTTTCTTTCTTTCTTGCTTGCTTGCTTTCTTGCTTTCTTGCTTTCTTGCTTTCCTCTCTCTCTCCCCCTCCTCTCCCTCTGCTCTCCTCTCCTTTCCTCTCCTCCTCTCTCTTCTTCCACTGCTCTCCTCTCTTCCTCCTCCTCCTTCCTCTCTCTCTCTCTCTCTCTCTGGCTCCCTGACACTCTCTCTCTTCTCCCTCTTCCAGTTTGGCATTCTTCCTTAAGGGCGTGGGAGCCTGTTTTTCAGCGATGCCAATGTAAGGGAGAGACGACAGCGTCCCTCCCCGGCCCCCACCCCAGTGCAGGTTCCTGGAGATAACTGCAGGGTGTCAGGACTGGGACTTTGTTCATTCAGCTGTGAAGCTCAGAGGAAGCCTGTACCACTCAATCCTAAATTTATTGGATTCAGTGTGACTAGCCACTCCCTTCCTTTGTGGGGTGAACAGGAAGAATGCGGAGGGTCAGAGACTCCCCTCTGACTGAGTGATGAGCGGAGGTACCAAAGGACAGGAGAAGGGCAGTACAGACCTCACTTCAGAGCCAGAGCAGGACTCTCCTGGCCTGGCCCCCTGCCCGGAGGGGCTCCAGACACCCTGACAACAACACCCGTCCAGGGCGGAGACTTCCAGAGGACCAGAAAAGGAATCCATCAATAGCACATCTTGGTTTCATTGATTTCCCGAGCCATTGGATTGTACATTTTCTAAGATGGTGTTTTTTAGACCAATCATGGGACTTTGAGATTCTGGGCTGCAGACAGCAGTTGGCAGGAGCATGCGCTGCCAAGAGGGGTCATTAGGGAAGGACTGGTGGGGTCACAGGCTCAGAGAAGCCCTTCAGGACCAGAGGTGGCTGTGGTCAGTGAGCCTCGGGCGGGCTCTGCATGCCCCTCTGTCCAGGGGACACTGTGAGCAATCCTCAAAAACATCACATGCCTCAGAACTGCCGAATTAGGATGAAAGGGAGAAAACAGAAACTACGCTCTGAAGTCTTCCTGCAGCAGAGCTGCCTTGCCTTGGGATTTCTGAAATCAGGTGGGTATGGCCTTGAGGTGTTAAGACACAGACTCTAGGGATGACACAGTTTTTTGGGGGTTTTGGTTGATGAAGCAAGCTTTGGAAACAAAAATGGCTTTGGTTGGCTTGGCAGAAATGCAAGAAAGATATACTGCCTGGGGGAGGAGCTGTTCCAAGCCCGTCCCAGCCCCAGACAGCGCACGTGCACATGTGATGCCTGAGTCCAGTGCCTCAGTTTGGCGGCAGAGGGTTGGCCAAGCTCACTCTCTTCCTTATGGTTCTCATGCTGTCACAACGCAGCATTGAATCATTTGGAAATGATAAGACTCCAGGTTCCTCAGTATTTCCGCAGCTGTTTGTCCTCATCAAATTTGTTTGAAACTGAATCAGATAGACTTGGTTATGGAAAAATAAAATAAAGCAAATCACTGTGTCAGCTGCCTGTTTGTGTGTGTGTGTGGACACAGCACACAAAGCTGTCTTCCCCTCGGACTTGCCTGTTCCACAGCTTCAGGGCCCTCCCACTGCCGCTGTCCCCACTTCCCCTGTTCTGAGCCCCGAAGTCTACTCATCTTGCTGGCTGTCTCTTTGCTCTTCACTACTTTCTTGCTTAAGAACTTTTAGTGATCACTTTCAACTCCAAGATTTTCATCGCATTATCAGTGCGAGCCATCTCTTTCAGAATCCATTTGCTTGGATTCTTCTTCCTGCAGAATAATAACCCTGCAATCGTTCGAAGCAAGCATCACTCTAAATGCTATCAAAAAATGAAAGTGGGAAAAGAGAAGTCATAGACTGGGAAATAATATTTGCAATGGACACATCTAATGAGAAACTGATTTGAAAGATGCCAAGATCTGATAATATTCAGTAATAAGAAACAAATAGCACACTTACCCAAAATGGGCTGAAACCTTCGTAGACATCTCAGCAATGATGACAACAAGGATGTGGGGGGAAATGCAAATTCTACCACACCGCACACCCAGATTGCCAACATCCATCTGGTGCCAGGCTCAGGAAATGGACAGATCTTTTGGAAGGCACTTGAACACTTTCTTTTAAAACTAAGCAAATCATCCACTAAATCATGCTTCTTGGTGTTTAGCTCAGAGAAAAGTTGGAAACTTATACCCACAGGAAGTCCTGCACGTTGATGTCTGGGGGAGCTTTACTCTTCACTGCCAAAAGTTGGAAGCAACCAAGCTGCCCTGCAGTAGGTGAATGAATAAATGCGCTGCCGTACATCCAGAGGGTGGGATGGTCGCTAACACTGACTTCCAAGCTATGAAGACAGGGAGGAGACATACTGGCTCGCTAGTGAGGAATAGGACTGACTGAAAAGGTGCACACTGCATGATTCCAATAAGCACAGTTCTGGAGGCCTAATAAAGATCAGCAGTTGCCAGGGCCAGGGTTGGAGAGGTGGAGAGCGGGTGATAGCAGAACCCAGAAGACTGTCAGGGCAGTGAAGCCCCTCTCCGTAATATTGTGATGCTGGACACATGTCACGACCCCTTTATCCACCTCATAAAAGGTTCAGTGACATTAGGATCCAATCCTAGCAGACTTCGGACTTTGAGTGACAGCGCCGTGTCCATGTCCGTCAGCTCCCTGGCTGCAGCAACGCGCATCCCTGTGCATGCAAGGCACACCCGGAGACCCCCCGCACCTGGCTCCCAGGGTCACAGCCATTCTAGAGATAAAGGCTGATTTCTAAAAGCAGAAATGGAAGAAATACTATGAGGTTTGTGACACAGCTTGGTGCTTACTTTATATGCATTTATTAATTTGATCAAGTTTCAAATATTATAGATAGATACGTTGAATTATAACAAGAATATAAATAGAGCATTGTAGAATACCTTTATTTAATTGTTTTGGTACTCACATGCTTTATATTGATATTAATCTTTATTTTTATACATAAAACAGTGCTAATACTAGTGTACTTCACTTGTTTCTAAATGAGCACATGTTAAAAACTGTATTCCTTTGCATATCCCTACGTGGAGCTTTCCACAAAACGGGACTCTCTTTCCATCTTTCTTACAGACAAGCAAATATATTGTCAATTAAGGGTTTTTTCCCTTTCTTCTTTTCCTTTTCATAGATTTGCTGCTTTCAAACAGCTGCATGCCCTTCCTGGGCTCCTCGGAGGGCCTGGATTTCCAGACTGTTCTGTTGGATGAGGAGCAGGGCCGGCTGCTGCTAGGAGCCAAGGACCACGTCTTCCTGCTCAGCCTGGCCGACCTCAACCGCAACTTCAAGAAGGTCAGTTTATTTCCCACATTGATTAACTCATCCCATTTCCTCTCTGCCTTTCTCCAGCTTTGGGTCCATGTTGAATGCAGTAGGTCACTTACGTGTCAGAAAAAGAATAGACTGTACTAAAAACAAAACACTGCTCCTGGTAGACGCTTGTGGTTTTGTGGATTTAAGTACACACGCATATTCTTGCTTTTCGCATGCATGTTCTTTCTTGAGAGTGAATGCATAAAGTTCTAAAACCTTTGAAAATGTGAATGAAAGGCATCAAAACTAGGGCATTGTTCAGATAGAGTAGAAATGCAGAGTTTTGGATTGAAGAAATGGCAAGAAAATTGTCCATCAAGAATGAAGATTTCTATATATAGCAACTGTGAAATCGATTTTCCTTTAATTTTTGGTTGACAAACTCCTGGCCTTGGAGTTAGCGAAGCAGGGTGCCAGGCAGAGCCGAAGGGACCCTGCACAGGGCTTCATCTGGCTGCCCGGACTGCATTAGCTGGGTGGCCATCTGCATGGCTCTGCCCTGCCTTGGGCAGAAGGGGTGGGAACAGGCATAAAACCTAGCTCAGTGCTGGCCCAAAACAAGGAGACCCAGGGAGTCCCAGGGCCCAGAGTGGGGCCCGAGCTTGGAAACAAAAGGCTTCCGACTGCTAGACCTGGCCTGGCATCAGGAGGAGACCAGTGAGAAGGACTAGTGTGCAGCCCACATCAGTGCCGGCCTTGCAGTGGGCACAAGGCCACTGTCCTTCCCCTACACTGCACCTGAGGCTGTGTGACTGAGGGGAGCTAGGCTGTCATGAGCCTTGGGAGTCAAGGAACTGTCCCCACCTCCGTACTGCACCTTGGGCAGCAGCTCTCTCCAGGCTGGTGTTAGGGGATGGGGCCTCCAGACCTGCCTGGCCGAGGGCAAAGACCCGCGCCCCAGTGGGAGAGCTGTGTGCTCTGGCCACATCAGCCCCCGCTGCAGTGTGGGCCTGGGTACATCCCCGAGATGGTACAGGTCCTCGCACCTGCAAGACTCAGGCATGATGCAGCTTTGCATCCCCTTGGGTGGAAATGCCTTTGCCAGCACTGCCCGACCCTGCAGCAAAGTGTGGAATAAGGTTCCATTCACAGAGGGTAAAACAACCTAAACCGCACAAGGCTAGTACCTAGGGCCTCAGCGCTGGGCTGGGAAAACCTAATACAGACCAGATCCTAGGAGACACCAGCACCAGGGTGGTGCCCATGGACAGAGCCCCAGAGTTGGGAGAAGTCTATTGAGCTGCTGTTCGGGCCAGTGTCACCGGTGGCTAGGTGCAGTGATCCTGGGCCGCTGAGTCCACATCAGCAGTAAGCAGCCCACAGCAGTGCAGTGTTGGTCCTACCCAGGGCTGGGTCCATCCTGCAAGCTGTGGGCTCAGAATGTACAAGTCTGCAGCACTGGTGGCCCTATGTGTGGCATAAGAATCTAGGGCTAGCAACTCCATGGTGTTTCTGCCCCAGCCAGGCAGATGCCCACACTGTCTAGCCACAGGCAGGTTACTGGGGAAGAGATCCCCAGGCTTACAGTGGATCCAGGGACAGGCTGGGGTGGGTGGATTACTCTTTTCAAGGACCACCGCCCCCACCAATTCCCCTCACCAGTTGCAGATTTGGGACAAGCCTGGGCTTAGGTGCCCCTCCAGTGCTGCAGTCGGAGTGATGCTCTAACAGCAGGCTCGGTGCAAAGTGGCTAAGAGAACCATCTACCACTGAAACAGCAAAATAGCTACAGGTTTGGGGAAACTCAACAGTCTGCTCAGAGTTTCTGGAAAAAGAGGCACAAATAAAGCCAGATTAACACTGGAATGAATATATAACCCTTCAGGACCCAGACAGCGTCACATTCAATGTCAGAAGCTTTCAGAAAACCATAATCTCACCCAACATTCAAAATAAAGCACCAGAAACCAACATGAGAGTCACCAGTATGGGTGAACTCTCAGGTGGAGCATTTAAAAGAGCTATTTTAGGGACATGCAGAGTCCTTCAAGAAAACACCATGAAATGATTCAATACTTTAACAGAGAGATGGAAATACATTTAAAAAAATCTCTGGGTGGAAGCATATACTAAGTAAAATCAAAACCATGTTAATTGGGCATCAGTAATAAAGTCAATCACACACAAGAATGAGTGTGTTTGAAGACAGGCCAGTTGAAAATACATAATCAAAGGAGAAAAGAATTGATGAAGGAGGAAAGTTTGCAGGAACTTCAGGACCTCATGGAGGACAAGTACCAAGCTTATTGGTTTTTAAAAGAAATTTAAAAATGGCCAATGTATTGAAACCTATTTCAAAGAGATGATAATAGAAACTTCTCAAATCTAGAGAAGGATATAAATGTCCAGGTTCAGGAAGGTTAATTGTCACTATTCTAATTTAACTCAACTAAGTCAACTCCAGCATACATTATAATCAAGCTCTCAAAAGTGAAAGAAAAAGATTCTTAAAGATGGAAGAGAAAAGAAGCAAAAACGTGTGATGCAGCCTCAGTTCACAGGGCAGGGAGCTTCTCACCAGAACCTTCCAGGCTAGGAGAGATTTGATGTGATGTGAGATTTGCACAGCACTGAAGGAAAAGATAGAAGAAAAAACTTCCTACCAAGAATATTGTACTTGGCAAAACTGTCCTTTAGAAATGAAGAAGAGATAAAGACATTCCCAGAGGAAAGCTGAGAATGCACGGAATATCTCGACCAGACTTGTGTCATAAGAAATGGGGGAGGAAATACCTGTCATGCACTACTTAAAGAAGGAAAGGACCATCTGTCTCATGATTTCATAGATTTTGGTCCATGGTTGGCAGCCAGGTGGGAGAGAGAGAGAGAACACAGAAGGGATAGATCCCTCCAAGGCATGCCACTGCAGCACCTCCTCTAACTGAACCTCCTCTCCTCATAGCTCACTGAGCTGTCAACTCGTCAGTGGTTCGATTCTCAGTAGCTCCATGACCCATTCATCCTTCAGAAGCAAGCACTAAACACCTGAGCATGGGGGGGGTGTTTTTGAGCCAAACTCTACTGGGGGTTCTACTGACTGAAAGAGGAACTTAGATTAAAACACATTCAAGAATAAGGAGAAAATATGGGAAATTATAAACTCACCGGTAAGGTTAACTGTACAGACATGTTGAGAATGCTCTAATATAAAGATAATGAGTAGGACATTCACGTCTTCACCATGAAGATTAAAATAACTACATTAAGATATTAAGAGCTACATTAAGATGTTAAGAGCTAGGCAATATAGAAAGATAAAAATTGGGACAGAAAATGTTGAAATTCAGGAAAAGAATGGAGCACAAGTATGGATTTTTTGTATATTTTCTGATTCTTTGTTTTTCTCATCTTTACAATCACCTTACGTTGCAGTCATTTCAAAATAGCTTGTTATAACTAAAATATGATTTTGGTAAATCTCCTGGTAACCACAAAGCCAAATTTATAACATACAAACCCCAAACTAATAAGCAATAAATTAAAACACACTATTAGTGTAAGTCATTTAACCATAATGGAAGACTGTTAAGGAGGAAGGAAAAAAAAGAGAAAGTACTATAAACTAGAAAAGCTACAGAATGGGAGTAGTAAGATCTTACCTGCAGGTAATTACCTGAATGTAAATGGATTGAATTCTCCAATTAAAAGAGATAAGTGATTGAATAAACCAAAAACAAAGAACCAAACAACAAAAAATGAAAAGCAAGACCCAACTATATATTGCTTAGAAGAAACTTAGTTCATCGCTAAGGACATGCATGCAGATGGAATCCAAAAGAAAGCAGTAGAACCACAATTATGTCAAGCAAAATAGACTTTAATTGAAGAACAGTAAGATAAGACAAGAGGTCATTACATAATAATAAAGAGGTCAATTCAGCAAGAGAAATGACAGTTCTAAATACATATGTACCTAATATTGGAATACCAAGTATATAAAACAAATACTAATAGACCTAAGAAAGAAGCATTCCGTAATGCAGTAATGGCTGGGAACTTTAACACCAATGCCAGCAACAGACAGGTGATCCACACAGAAAATCAACAAGGAATCAACAGAGTCATGTCACAGCCTAGACCAAATAGTTAACAGGCATGTTTACAGCATCCCATCCAACAAGGGAAAAATATATGTTCTTCTCTTCTGAACATGGGAAATTCTACAAGGTAAATCCTAGAATGGGTCACCAAGCAAGTCTCAACAATTTTTAAGAAATTGAAGTCATATCAAATATCTTCTCTAAGCACAGAAGTAAAACACAGGAAGCCTCATGTTCTCTGATATAAAAATATATTACAAAGGTATAGTCATCAAAAAAGGGAGACAGTAACATAAAAACAGACACAGACCAACGGAATACAGGTGCTAGTGGAAACAGGACAGCCTTTTTCACAAACGGGGCTGGGAAAACTGGGAGTACACATGCAGAAGAACGAAACTAGACCCTGTTATCTCACAGCTATAAACATAAACTGGGAGTGGATCAATGCCTTAAGTTTAAGATTTGACAGGTGACACTGATAGAAGAAAGCATGGAGGAAATGCTTTAGGTTGTTGGAATGAGCAAAGATTGTTTTGTACAAGACTCCAAAAAACACGAGAAACAAAGGCAAACACACACAAATGAAAACTAGAAAGTTTTTGCACAGCAAATGAAACAATCAGCCGAGTAAAGAAACAACTGACAGAGAAGAGAAAATATTTGCAAAGTGTACATCTGATAAGGGGTTAATGTCCAGATTATATAAAGAACTGGAAAAATTCAGTAGGGAAAATAACTCAATTAAATTGGGCAATAAACCTCAATAGACATCTCTCAAAACAGGACACACAAAGACCAGTGGTTATATGAAAAATGCCTGGTATTATGAATCCTCAGGGAAATGCAAATCAGAGCCATGAGAATGTCATGTCACTCCAGTAAGAATGGCCATGGTGCAAGAAAAGCAAAACTTTGCATTGTGTTGGTGGGAATAGA